TGCTGCCTATACTTCTACCACCGTCCCTGCACAATGTCCCCCAAAAGAAGGGCGAACCACCCGGCGACCCCGCCATCGAAGCGAAGGAAGTCACGACTCAGTGAAGACGACATCTCAGATGACTCCTACGCAAGGATGGAAAGAGAAATCTTCGACAGCCCTTCGGAGACACCAGCGGAAGATGGCGACGCCACCTCCAGACACCACGTTGCAGGACGAGGGGCCGGCACCTCCACGGGGAGTAGAGCCTCAGCCGATATTCCCAAACCTTCCATGCCGACTCCCAGGCCCGAGACAGCCAGCATGGACTCCGGCATCAGCACGGGACGGGGAGCCTCAGCCGATATACCACAAGCCACGACTCCCTCTACACCGGCCAAAGCACCCTGGAATCCGCGACCAGTCACCTCGACCACTACGCCACGACCCTTCCTATCACGCCACTCTCGATTCCGGGTACAGTGGGCTTCGGAGTGGGCCACCCACCAATTGCGGATGTGGGGCAACGGCTGCAAACCTGGCACTTGGAGTTCAACGAGGGTCCGACTATATCCGTCGCCGGGCAACCGACACGCAGTTGGTTCTTCCATCTCAGGCAGGGGTTTGTGCACAATGTGGATGGAGCACTCACAGCGCATCACGACGTGGTATTGGAGCCGGTCAGAGTGGTTCGGGGAACATCGCTGCCAATGTCGACAACCTCGATGCCATCGCAGATCACGTCAGAGAGAACCCCGCCTCGTGCTGAGGACTAACAGAGCCACGAGGTGGCAGATGACCACCTTCAGAGCACTTGATCGGCTATGGGGAGTAAAAAGCAGATCGCATCCATGGGCCCGCTTCCGCTATAAAGCATGTACGAGGCGTATGAGACGTGGTTTCCCTCAGAGTCAGCATTGTGCATCGACTCTCGCAGCCGGAGCGCGTAAGGTCTGGTATTTTCTCGAGTACTACATGATGGCAGCATGCGGCCAGCTCGGTGCGTACATTCTTATCATTACAGCCTTATGCTCCACGCATGAAGCTAAGCAGACTACAAGTTTCTTTCAATGGTTTATCTCAGGAGGATTCCAGAGTAAGAGCCGCTCGGGTCCCAAGTCCCGAGGCGACAGCTTTCAAGGTCTACCTACTTGCGGTGCATGGTTGCGGCTCCTCGTGCTTTCTTCTTGTATATATGCTGCAACAGCTGTCGTAGAACCGAGGGTGGCCTCCTCCGTCCGGGAGGCTGAACCGGGTACTCGTCTTCCGGGACCCGGGAACGTGCACGATCTCGGTTATGATCGTCCTGTCAGCTTCACAAACACGCAGGCCTGCAAACGATCTTTCCGAAGAGCGAGGATGAGAGTGCAGAAACGCATTTCCGAGGGAAAGGCTGGCGAAACCATGTACAGGGGTAGATTGCATACAGCACAGAGTCTCGGAATGCGCAATACTTGTTTTCGTAGTTTCACTGAAGGCAGACGACCGCTACACAACTGGAGTCGTCGGCCCGGCCACATGACGCTGAGATACATGACATGGAACTGCAGTGGCCTTGGTAACATGCTGCTACCAGAACTTATTCAGTGGCTGGACGAGTTACCACCACAGCAAAGACCCCATGTTGTATTTCTGCAGGAGTCCCACTGGAGTATTACGAGCGAATGGGAATCCAAAGGATGGATGCATATCTCCTCGGGACATGCAGAAAAAGATAAATCAGCAGGACTGTTGACCCTGATCAATATACCACATGTGACCACCAAGGAGGTTCGGGTACGCCGTGTACTTCAGGGTCGCTTGGATCATATTCGTATCACGCACAGCAAGGGCATCCTGGACATTCTGAACTGCTATAATCAAGCAGTATCTTTTCAACAACCGGAATCCCACTATCTCAAGCGATCACAACTGTATCGCAACCTGGATAAGATCCTGTGTTCCCTGGCGGTTGAGCATCAAGTTTTGGTGGCTGGTGACTTTAACTTACAACTTCGCAGAGAAGAACCATACGTAGGCTCGGCCACCTGCCTACGAGCACCCTTGGACGCCCAAATTGCTAAAGATGTCGAGCAGTTTCTGGAGGTGGTTCGCAAACATGCACTATGTGCACTGAATACATGGCGCGGACGACGGCCACATACCTTTACCCATCTGAAGTACAAAACTCAGATTGACTCTGTATTTACCAGGCAGTCCCAAGCCACTGGACTAGCCAAGCAAGCCATGCCTAAACATGACTTCATTGTTGGCGCTTGGAGGGACACGAAGCACTACCCCGTCTTGGGCACAGTTCACGTGCCCAAGCCTACTTGGCAACAACGAACCAGTCCCAAATACGATATTACGGCCATCCTGCAGGAGGTGCAGAACCCTGGTGTGATCTCCCAAACCATCCAGGCCCACATGAGGGAGTCACTCAGCACCTTGCCCCTCGATCGGTATGATGACATCCCGATACTGTTGCACGATCTTTGCAGCCGCTATTTTCTAACAGTTCCAGAGAGGCACCCACCCACACCACAACAAGTTGAGTTGAAGCAATACATCAAAACAATGTGGGGCCATTACAAGGCAGCCAAGACAGGCGCTATGATGGGCTCGCCACTCCGTGGACTACTACGTCGCTGGAGGCACCTTGTGCAATACCACAAAATGCGCAAGGAATCCCAAAAGGTTGGTCGAAGATTGAAAAGAGAGCGTTTCCAAACTTATCTGGAGATGGCTGAAGAGGCGGCCAATGCATCCAACACGGTGGCTCTCTACAAACTCGTTCGCAAACTGGCTCCCAAGTCTCGACGTCAACAAGTGCAAATACGGGATGCAGAAGGAATGATTATTTCAGAACTCGAAGAAGAAGAACATCTTCGGAAGCACTTTGAGGGAGTATGGCATCCTCCACTACAGTGGGAATCACCCCCGTTGTGCACCGCTGCGGTTCTACCACGTGATGAGTCAACTTTCAGTATAACGGCGAACGAAATCCAACAGGCCGTATGTGCGATTCGCCCACGCAAAGCGGTCAGCCCACACCTTCCTCCTGCACCTTTCTGGAAAATAGCTGCACCAGCACTTGGACAGTGGCTAGCCGGACAAAAAGGCATCGAGACGGCGGACATTCGATACCCTACATCATGGCTTATGACCTCCGTGGCCCTACTTCAGAAACCTGGCAAGCCAGTAGGCCCCCTTACATCTCTACGTCCCATTGGCTTACAAGACCCACTCTCCAAAGCGTACACGTCGATTCTGGCCCAGCACTTCAAACCCTATGCTTTGAGATACTTGCGCAGGATCCCGCAATACGCATATCTCCCAGGCCGTGATGTTATGTGTGCATTGATGCGTGCCGTACAACACTGTCGATCAGTTCGTACCACCATACAAGGTCAAGCCTACAACCTGCATCATCTCAGACAAGGGACGAGCACGACAGATTTTCGAGCAGGCCTCCAGGTATCCCTGGACTTATCTCAAGCCTTTGACACAGGCCCATGGTCCTTGGTTATGGAAGCCGTTCGTCGAACCGGTGCTCCTGACGGCCTATGCTCTGCCATTGCTCAATGGATCCAGGGTACGGTATACGAACTCACATACAAACGCACCCGACTCCTAGTTAATGCAGGACGGGGCGTTCGCCAGGGCTGCTGCCTCTCGCCGATTGTATGGTCGGTATTCACTGGACTCCTCTATCAGGAATTTGAGGCTATTGGTGGCTTGCACTCTCCCACCGGAATGCTGTCCATGTTCGCTGACGACAAACACATATGCTGGGAGCTGACCTCACCGACTGCTCTTCATGATGCCCTTCAATCTCTGGGTAAGCTCCTTCAGCTGCTTCGTAAATTTGGCTTACAAGTCAATGCCAACAAATCCAAGGCCATATTGCATGTGCAGGGAAAAGGCTCCGAACGGATCAAGCGCACCTGCATTGAACTTGTCAAGGACGAAAAACATCTGAAGGTACCGATCCGCGAAGAGAACACTATGACAGAGGAGCTTATCCCACTGGTATCTCAGCTTCACTACATGGGTATAGTGTTGTCGTACACGAGCTTCGAAGAACAAACCATGCGCCACCGTATCGCGGTTGGAAGGGCGAACTACGATCGGCTGCGAAAACTGGTCAACGCCCGAAAGATCCTTCGGCTACATCATCGAATACGACTATGGCGCTGTGCTATTCTTCCAGCGATGACGTACGGATTACTGAGTACGGGCCTAACCAAAACATCAGCGGACATGTTTGCGATTGCATGGATCAAACAGATTCGGGCCATATCCAATTCACCAGTTCATCTTACGGGAGAACGATCGTTGGATCTATTACAGAGAGTGGGCCTCCCAGAGCCACTTCAGCACTTGCATAAGCTGGCATCAAGTCGACTTCTCAATCTTCAACAACTGTACAGACAGATTGAGCCAGATGATATCATGAAAGACCCAATGATTGAGGCCATTTTGCATGACCGGATTATGGAGTTCCAACAGCTCGCCCTGGAGGCTACGTACCACCGAAAACACGACACCACTCTAGTGCACATCCCGTTGCAGGAAGGTTTCTCATGTCCAGAATGTGGCATATACTTTAATACTCAGGCAGCCATGCGACAGCACGTCACAAAAAAACACTCGACTGACCATGAGCGCGATGCCACTACGGGGTCTTTTGCTGATATCAATGCAGACATACGCCGATATGGGGTTGATGGCATGCCGCAATGCTGTTTTTGCAAAACTTTTGCATACCCAAATGTGCATACACACGTGAGGTAACATTTTGTACAGTTGCACATGAGCTGTTGACTTGAGTTCGTGCAGGCGCTTTTGTCCGAGCAAAATTTGTCATGGTAGCGGAGCACTACGGTGCTCAGAAGTTTCTAGGGCTTGGAGTCGCTAGGGCTTTTGGGTTGAGTTCAGGGCACCAGGAAAACAGGTCCTGTTTGCTTCTTGGGTTGCAGGGGTTTGACTTTAGAAGTCTAGAGCCTTTGCTTGAGCCATAGTTTTCGCCGAATTTTCAAATGGAAGCTGCTGGCAGTGGGCCACAGCTAGATGATTTCGATGATGACTTAGATGGTCCGCCGATGCAGCCTGGCGGGTCCCCAGCCGGCTCTGCTCATGCTGCAGAAGAGAGATTGATGGCTATCCTGTCTTCGCTGCAGCAGAACCAGCAAGTGTTGCAGCAGAACCAACAAGCTCTCGGTGAGTTGATGAGAGATCAGCTGGCGCACAGAGCTCAGAGCTCGGCTTCTCAGGATTCACTGAGAGGGAAAGACTTGGCAAGGGTTCTTCAACCTCCTGCTCCTTTTGAGGCAAGGAACAGAGATGAGGAGCTTGCAAGGTGGTCAGCTTGGAGCTGGCAGCTAGAGTCATGGCTTTGCACTCTGGACACTGGGTTCACAAGGACCTTTGAGTTGATCAAGGCGCAAGGACAGAACCCTATATCGATGGGTGCGTTGTCTGCTGAGCATCAAGAACGTTCCAAGCTTCTGTTTGGCATCTTGTCTGGACTTCTCCACGAGCGTGGGAGAAGATCGTTGCGTGCGATTCCGGACAAGAATGGATGCGAAGCACTCAGAAGCTTGCAAGTGGATCTTATGCCTGGCAATCGATCTAGGTTGTTGGCGTTGCTGCAGACAATAAACCAGTGGCCGAGTTTCAATCCTAAGGAGGGTTTCAGCCAGCAGATGCTCAAGCTTGAAGCGGCTTTTTCGGAGTATGACGATCATAGTCAGCAGGGGCTCAGCGAGGACACGAAGATTGCTTGTTTGCTTCGTTGCGTCACAGGCCAGTTGAAGCAGCATCTCAATGTCGCAGTCACAGACAAGACTAAGTATGCAGATTTGCGGAGTTTGGTGTTGCGCTGGGATAATGCACAGACTCGTTGGGACAATGCAGTTGCTGCTACGTATTCCTTGGGTGATGGTCGTGGTGGCCAATCTCAGAGTCAGCCCATGGAGGTCGATTCCATCGGTCAGCTTGCTCAGGCTATCAATCAGATCGCTTGGAAAGGCAAGGGCAAGTCCAACAAAGGCAAGGACAAGTCCGGCAAAGGCAAGGGCAAGACCAACAAAGGTAAGGACAAGAGCAAAGGCAAAGGACATGGCAAAGATCATGGCCAGTCTGGCTGGTGGCAGCAGCCCCCCAAAGCTGGAAAAGGGAAAGGCAGCGAGCACTCCAAAGACCAGAACGATCGATGCTTGTACTGCGGAAAGCCTGGACACTGGAAACGCGACTGCTTCAAGTTCAAGAGGGACAAAGGTCAGTCAGTGAACCAGGTGAGTTCTGCTGGCGAAGAGACGAGTGCCATCGATGCTACTTCGATTACTGCATCGACTGTCGCCCCTAGCCACAGCGCATCGAATGTTCCTGCAGTTCCCAAGCGGATTCAGATGCTTTCTCGAATCGATGACCAGGGAACGTTCGACTTGACAGCTTTCGATGATGATAATGTGATTGGCTTTGGTGGTTCGCTTCGCATGGTGCAATCAACGCGTGTAGAGCAGTTTGACATGTCTTGTGGCGACAGTATCGATGAATGCGCCATCGATGGAGGTCCTTGGAAGATCGATTTTGAGTATAGCATTTTCGATCTGGATGCTGCTCAGCTGTGTGCCCTTTGTGCGCACGCGAATGATGATTCCCAGGCGGGGATGTCAATGCTTGAGAGTTCAGCTTCGATGTCAGTGCTTGAGAGTTCAGCTTCAGCTTCAGTGCTTGAGAGTTCAGCTTCAGCTTCAGTGCTTGAGAGTTCAGCTTCAGCTTCAGTGCTTGAGAGTTCAGCTTCAGCTTCAGTGCGTGAGAGTTCAGCTTCAATTTCAGTGCTTGAGAGTTCAGCTTCAACTTCAGTGCGTGAGAGTTCAGCTACGGAGCATTCAGCCTTTAGTCCAACCTGCGCCTTGTCGGTGCGTGCGGTGACCACAGTTCCCCGAACCCAGGAGATCATCCTAGATAGTGGTGCAGATTGCAGTGCTTTGCCCATGTCTTTCAAACATGTTGGTGTGGCGGATCGAGCCGCGCCAGGGATGTATGTCGATGCGCAGGGCAATCCACTTCGTACAGCTGGAGTGCGTATTGCCGAGGTGAGCATAGGTCAGCTGAAGTTCAAAGAACGCTTTGTGATCAGTGATGTCACTATGCCGTTGATAAGCCTGGGAAAATTGTACAGAGCCGGGTGGTATGTGGTTCCGCAGGGTGAGAGCTTGCAGCTGACAGATGGGATCCAGAAAGAACCTGTAGGTTTTCGCAAGCAGTCCTTGTGTGTGAGCGGTAGCATCAGGGTCCTGTCTTCGCAGAGTTCAACAATCAGGGCCATCGTGAATGTGACTGTGAAAGAACCGCTCTTGAGGTTGAATGCGGGATGGAGCCGAATTGACCATCGAATCTTTGGCATGAAGACCTTCTCGAAGCACTTCATTGATACTACGCTGATCCCTCTTTCGGAGCTCATCTGGAGGAGAACCACATTGATAAGGAGAGGCGCAACATGGGAGCTGATTGAGTTTAGTGAAGACATCACAAACCTCGATGACATGTGTGCCGCTTTCGATGATTCCGATAGTGTTGATGAAGTGATCACGATCGCTCATAGCAGTGCTGACCTGACCCCTTCAGACATGTTCTTCGAGGTTGTAGATGAGAATCAACCGCCAGCCTCAAGGGTTCCAGAGCCAAGAGAGGAAGAAGGTGCCCCAGCCAGTGAGGACCCTCAACATGTAGAGCCTCCTGTTGACCAACGTGAGGAATTGGTGCCTCCGGAGTCCGTTGAGATCGATGGCGTGATCGTTGATGGCGATTCGTCATTGGCGGTGATGCGCAATGCTTGCAAGGCCTTAGGACTTCCGGAGCATGGCAATAGGGCACAGATTTTCAAACGATTGGGTAAGCATTGTGTTCAGCATGAGCTATTGCAGAAAAGACATGTGAGCCACACGTTGCAGTCCGAGTTTGAAAGAGAACCTCGTGGACAATCTGTAGCAGAGGAGCCATCACGGGAAGAAATTCAGCAGCATTCGTTGACACATGAGCCCTACAGAGCGTGGTGCAAATACTGCGTTTCCCACAGAGCTAGACAAGACCAACATGCTAGTGTTGCTGATCATGAAGGTTCCTCGTCTTCAGTGATATCGATCGACTTCGGGTTCCTCTCTCGGAAGGAAGGTGATCGCAACAAGCTCACAGTACTGTTTGCGCATGATCGGTTTTCGAAAGCGGTGTGCGCAATACCTACCCCGAGAAAAGGCGGGCAGGCCGCTTTATCTCACATGACCACTGAGCTGTGTAGATTCGTTCTTTGGCTGGGACATCGATCGATCACCCTCAGGTCCGACAATGAAAACAGCGTGCTAGCGGTGGTCGATGGTGTCCGCAAGATTCTGAGAGCCCAAGGCGTGGAAGTTCACAAGGATTCCATACCGATCGATGCTCATCAGTCTAATGGACCGGTGGAACAAGCAGTGCAATCCATTCGCCAGTTAGCGTGCACACTTATGTCTCAGCTCGAGGCAGGACTTGGAGCTGCCCCTGATTCGGTGTTGTTCGACACCGACCACCCGATGTGGCAATGGGCCATATGCCATGCAGCTTGGGTCAAGACAAGGTTCTCAGTAACGCAGGGGTGTACTCCATATGAACGCCTCACAGGTTCGGTGTACCGCGGAAAAGTGTGCATCTTCGGAGAGGCAGTGATGGCCTACTTGAAGCAATCCCCGAAAGCTGCTCCCAAGTGGCAACGCGCTGTTTGGTTAGGAAAGACCGTGGCGAACGATGTGAACATCCTTGGCGTTCCCGGTGGCATCTTTGTTTCAAGGTCGGTGAGGCGGTTCAGTGATTGTTGGGACGACAAGTTGAGTGCAGAGATTGACACTTCGGTTTGGCAACATGGTCTTGCTAGTTTAGGAGGGACGCTTGTCTTGAAGTCAAAGAAACCGGTTCCTGCGCCGCAACCAGCTTTGGCACTTCCGGTGGAGGCGGGGATGCCAACAGGTGGTGACGAAGCTGTGGAGGCGCCCCAATCAGATGTTGCAGCAAGTGATCCAACAGATTCAGCTTCTCAAGTGGGAGCGCAAAGTTCGATGTCCATCGATGCGAGTTCAATGTCAGTTGGTGCCAACGGAGGCATCACCAGCTTCATCGATGATGCAGAGAGCGATGCACCGAGAGATGCATCCATGCCTTCAGTTCCAGAGCGTAGCGAGTTTGCAGAGAACCCAAAACCTTCAAAGCAGCAGAAGACTGAGCAAGGCAGCATCGCAATGATCTCTTCTACAGGTTCTAGCATGCCATCAGCAGAGGTGCATACCCTTGTTGGCTGTGAAGAACAGCCTTGCGTCGTTGAGATTCGGAAGGTGAGCTACCAGCATGAAGATGAATCCGTAGAGCTTGCTTTTGATCAGGACGCAATCGATGCCATGGAGCAGTATGACTACGACGATTATCAAGCTGATCAGAACGGTGATTCAGGCGACTTGGATCCAAGGTTGTGTAGACCGCGTCTTTCGGAAACAGAGCCAGAATGTTCAGAAGAAGAAATGAGGGAGTTGGACTCCATTGCGGATCAAGTCGAGATCTCACGATTGAAGAATATGGCGGTGTTGCAAGATGCTAGCACAAAAGACTTGTCGGGTGCTGTTCACTTAACCACGAAAATGGTCAGGACATGGAGGCAGAAAGAGGCAGGGAATCCATCGATGCCAATCTGGTATCGTCGAAGCCGATATGTCGCAAGAGAATATGCTTGGTTGACCGAAAGGAATGACCTTTTCAGCCCTGCCAGCAGCAGCCTGTGCAATCGCCTTCTCCCGATTCTGTTCATGTACGAAAGAGCCCAATACGACGACGATGAAATCAACGACGACGACAAGTTGATCTTGTTCTCCGTGGACATCGGGGATGCATTCCTCACCGTACCCCAGGTCCGGCCAACATATGTGACGTACGTGGGGGTCGATGGGGTCAAAGAGATCTTCTACCTGGGATTCGTTTTACCGGGGCAGAGGTCGGGGTCGAGTGATTGGTATGATGACTTCATGGGGTTCCTCAAAACCAACTTGAACATGACTGAGTGTGAGGTTCACCCTTCCCTCGTCAAGTCGTTAGACGACATGACCCGGTTCCTCATGCAGATGCACGTTGATGACATGTTGGGGTTTGGCACGCGCAAGTATGTGCACCAGAAGTTCTTGCCAACTTTGAAGACGAAGTACAGGGTGACAGCGCAGACCATCGAGAAGGTGGGGGATGCGATTTCATTCCTCAAAAGAAAACATTCGCTTATCAGCAGCGAGCAGTTGCTGCTCACTCCGAGTCCAAAACACTTCGACAAGCTTTTCGAGTTGCTTGGTCTAGATGAGAGTGTTTCGCCAAAGAAAACCCCTTACATGTCGCAACTTGATGATGTCGACAACTCCCCAGAGCTGAATGCCATCGATGGATCGATCTACCGCAGCGGGATCGGGCTTCTCCTATACCTATCGGTAGACCTCCCGGAGTGTCAAGGGGCGATTAGAGCTTTGTCGTCTCGCATGGCACGACCAACACAGCTTGCAATGCTAGGTCTTCGACATTTGGGGAAGTACCTTCTGGCAACGAGATACCACGGGCTGATGATCGTCAAAACCAAGCCTGGGGAGGGGTTGATGGGTCCAAGGAATGATGCGAGCGATCAAAAGATCATCCTCGAGAGCTTCAGCGACGCCAATTGGGCCTCTTGCAAATCCACAAGAAGATCAGTTAGTGCGTCTGTGATTTGTGTTGCCGGTAACATGCTCTTTAGCTCGTCACGTACGCAGAGAGTGGTGGCGTTATCGACAGGGGAAGCTGAGATGTTGGCTGCTGCAAGCAGCATGTGCGACAGCCTGATGATCAAAGAACTGCTCAGGTTCGCTGACTATGGGGAGGTGAAAATATTTCACCACATCGATGCCTCCGCGGCAAAAGCGATGTTGGAGCGATCTGGAAGTGGCAAAGTCAGACATCTATCATGCAGAGTGCTTTGGACTCAGCAGATGATCAAATCCAAGCAGGTCTCTTTGCTGAAAATCAGCACTACCTTTAACCCCTCAGACCTTGGAACGAAGGGTTTGTCAAGGTCTAGAACTAGAATGTTGCAGTGCTTGATTCGCACATGGGACGAGCTGACCGAATCGTTTGTTGGCTTCGAGGAGTTGAGTGAGGAGAGAGAGAAGCAGAGTTTCAGAGCGAATTTGCGCATCTTGAGAGACATCCGAGCGCCGATCAGAGTGTCCAAGAGTTCTTTGCGGGCACTTGTTGCGATGGCGATGGTCAGTGCCGCTAGCGCCTTGAGCCCCAGCAACGCAATGGGGATGTGGTATGCTGTGGCTGAGAACCTCAGTGGGTTGCCCACCTTGTATGCTGTGATTCTTCCAGTCATTCTCGGCATCTTCGTTTGCGGGCTTGTCGGTACGTTGTTGATCATGAAGCCTCAGCCGATAATCATCACCGGAAGCTTTGACCAGCAGCTGAACAAGTTCGCAGATAGTGATGGCTACGGGGGACACATCGATCTGAGAAGCAGGTCATGCTCAATTGCGCTGAGTGATTCTTCAACGTCAACAGAGCACAAGGAGGTGACGGTTACACAGAAGCGTGTACACAGCAAAGATCCCGAGTTGAAGAATCCGGTGTGGGTTGCTAAGGGCTACGGCAAGAGATATCACTTGTATGGTTGTGGCAAGCTGAACCAGGCGTTTGAAGTCACCGAGATCAGCGAGGAGATTGCGATTCAGAAGGGTTTGGAGCCGTGTAGCTTTTGCAATCCTCACCTCAGGTATCATCCCAAGGAGTTCGTGAAGAACAAGTAGAATCGATGAGTGGATGAATTGAGCCCATTTACGTGCATCAGGCTTTACGATGCACAGGGCATGGATGTGAGCCCACTTGCGCATGCCAGGACTTACGGTATGCAGGGCATGACCGGCATTTTGTCGTTAAAATTAGCAAAAGGCTTTTGTACTTAGCATGTGGAGCATGCGTTGCTTGAGTACGTTTCTGATGCCATGTGTTTACATCCAGCAGAGTTGTGAGCACTTGTACAGTGGCAAAAGTTTGTTGCGAGAACTGCCAGAATTTGGCAATCTCGAGGCGGGGTGCAAAACTTTTGCATACCCAAATGTGCATACACACGTGAGGTAACATTTTGTACAGTTGCACATGAGCTGTTGACTTGAGTTCGTGCAGGCGCTTTTGTCCGAGCAAAATTTGTCAGTTTTTGCTTGAACAAGTTCAACACCTGGAGTAGCTTGGGACGCCACATTAAACTCAATCGATGCACCGCTCCCACAGGCTCAACGGTAGCCCTCCCTCCTGCCCTGCCCAACCACGGTGCCACTGAGGTCCGAGACAAAATTCCAGTCGCGTCGGATTATGACTTTCAGCTATCATTTCGCAAAGGTGGACTGAGCTTTCTCTGCAGGCGCAAGGACGTGCTTCAGGAGCTTGAACATCACTGCGCGGTCTGCAGGCAATGGCTGGTTAACAAGCACGATTTTGGATCCCACTTCGTCAAATCCCATCAGGACCTCTGGAAAAAGTACGGCACGCGGGCCACCAAGCTGGTAGTTCCTTTTGTACTTTCAGCTCCGTGTATATATTGCGGTGGAGTGGCCAGCATGCATACTAAACACAAGTGCCCGACTCTACTGCAGGTCTACTTTTCGAACCTGATCTTTCATGACCGAGCTACAATTTCAGCCCCCGACCAGCAGCGAACTGTCCACCTACTCCAAAGCGTTCCAGGGTCTCGGAGCCAGGATGATTCAGCAATCCGACCAGAGTCCCCCATCGACGGCAACAGGGATGGAGATGGAACCAATGGCAGGCTCCAAAAGAAAGGAGGTGGCGCAGGAGACGGCGCCAATGCTGGTTACGGAAGCAGCGTCGAAGCTTCAGAAGAAGGGACCTGGAAGGGGCAAGGGCAAGGCCAAGACCAATGCCGGAACCTCCCAGTCATCGCAATCTCAGCTCACCAATCTGGTGCACACCATCGCGAGACTATCGATTCGACACGAAGATGCATTGGCGGCGCAAAGACTCAATCAAGCCTACGTGATGTTTTTGCAAATCAAATCCGCAGGGGAGCTCCAGTCGCTCGTATCCCCCCTGTACACGGCGTCACAGACGTTCGACACAGAGAAGGAGATGGGCAAAGCCAAGTATCCGAAACGGGTGATCCTGGTCAGCCTAGTGCTTCGGGAGCTGCTATCTCGCGTGGACATCCTGATGAAGAACGACGACGCGATGCGGTCCGCGGTGCAGGCACAGTTGCTGGTCAAGGACGAGGACGACGATCCGTGTTGGCCCTACTTGCAATGGGATCCCGACAGTCGCCAGGAACTCCGCAACCAGGATCGGGAGCCCATGAAGCTGGAGCGGTGGCAACGCAAAATGCAGAGTGTGATAGGCCTTCTGACGGGGGAGACGGTTCTACGATGTCAGCCCAGCCGGAAGCTGACGGCCAACATGGAGGGCGACCAGGTGGCTCTGTTCCTCGAGATCGGCACCGTGGGCGAAGCGGAGCAAGACCTTCACCGCCATCTTCGGGACATGTGCGACCTCTCGGTGTGGAAGATGGTACTGGGACGGTTCCGACGGGATCGTCTTCAGCGGAACCCCCTGGCGAACCGGGTCATGGAGCTTCTCCCGGACAACGCCTGATGACTGCAGCTGCCCTCCCAATTCTGCAAAACACTGGCAATACATGCTATCAGAATGCACTACTTCTGTGTATATGGTGGCTCAGCCGGCATTTTCATGAATCGATGGGAGGACTCCTGCTTACAGTTCAGCAGCGGGTTGCAGAGACAAATGGCAGGCTGTGTGATATAGAGGAATGGTCAAGAATCTTGGCCATATGGGGCAGACCGGGTACACAACAGGATGTGGTTGAATTTTTGATGTTCCTCCTGGAATATGTCACGATTCCAGGATTGGGAGGGTCAATTCATTCATACGACCCGACCTCCGCTCTGGTGGATGTGATTGATCTAACCTCAGCGCCAATTATACTTCACATTGGTCGACACCGAAGCCTTCCCGCCGTGATACAGGAATGGCATCAGACAACAGAAGGGCTGCAATTTCTGATACATCCGCCAAGGATACTTTTTCTACAGGTCATGCGTTTCTCCCTTCAGCATGGCCGGATCCGGAAGAACAATGTTCGTCTCAAGATCCCCGACAGTCTTCTCATACCGACCTTGGTGGAAAATCGGAAAGCTCTGCGGTCCTATCATGTTGTATCCGGGGTATACCATCTGGGCAACAGTCCGCAATCTGGTCATTATCGAGCCTTCTTTCATGAGTTTCAATCCGGGTGCGATGGTGATATTCGCAGATATACTTCTGATGATGGTGTGAGCGTGGCTGAACTCTCCTCAAACGAGGCTGAGGTCCTAATGCGGAATTTTTATCTCCTTGCACTAGTGGGTGACTGATCCTTCTTCTTTTTGCTTTCTGACTTATACCATTCCACCTGCACTGTTTTTGTGGACACTCGCCCGCTGCACTCGATTACAGGTGATCTTTTGTCAAATCACAGATCGACGGAAGGGCACGTTCGTAGGGTGCTGCTGTTGTTGGGTATCGAGTTTGGTATCACGCTCATGCTGTTTGTCCTGGAACAAGCCCTTTCTGCAGCCAACTAGTAGCTCCAACAGCCACTTCGATCGATGCAGCAAAGCTCTCATGTTCACTGGATATCGAATCTATTCCTAACTATCTGGTTTATTGACTTCCCCAGCTGCATCATCTTCTCGCACGTAGTGTTTCAATCCCGGAGAGATGGCCACGATGTTCAGCGAATTTGGCTTATCTATGTTGCTCTATCATCAGCACTGTTCTTTGTCGTGTTTCTGTAGTGCCTTTGCTGGGTCTTCGGACCGGAAGGCCAATCTCTCATAGGCATGTGCTGGGTCCTAGGACCGGCATGCCAGCCTCGTGGTTTCACACTCTTGAGGCTTGCTTATGCAAGTGCAGCTGCAAGCTGCCAGGCATCCCTATGCTGGCTCATTATCGCTACGCGGGTCCACCAGCGTCTGCATGTCTCTGCTATGCACTGACCCGTTGCGAATCAAAGTCAAAAAGTCCTTTTGTCGCTGCTTTAAGTTGCTTTGACTATTACGTTTCACCCTTTACAGCAATTGTCTTGAATCGCTTACTGCGCCGCTGATGTGGTAAAGAAGCTTTGAAGCTCAATGCCAAAAAAAGCACAACCGCTGAAAACGTTGAAGCCAAGTTGGTCTTCCCAGACACGAGCAATTCTGGCTTCGCCACATATTCACTTCCTCCACTGCTGAAGCTGACAAATTTTGGCTTCTAGAGAAAAACGACCACGCCGTTACGCCATCGAAGACAATGCACCTTGCACTGGTGCTCTTTTCTTTGTTGATCGGTCCTCTTTTTTGCCTCTTGACTGCATCCGAAGCACAGTAGGCCGTTCTTGTGGAACTCGGAAACTAGAGGTAAGACAACGACGGAACCAACGCACCAAAACTCGAATCAAAGACAAAAAAGAGCGAAGCAACCAGCAAGCAGGGTGAAACCCCTCTTTCAGCACTTGCCATAGACAAAGTAGGATCTTTCGGAGAACATCCATGGTGATGCCGCCGTAGAGGGAGCAGAATGGCAAAATGCAAATTAAGCACATCTGTGGTGAAGATTCTAAGACTTCGAAAACCTTGCAAATGTCGTGGGACTCGAATTCCGGTGCCTTGAAAAAACCTCTCACATCTTGTGGAACTCGAATTCCAGCCTTGCAAATATGGGACTCAAATTCCCAGGGTCTCGAAAATCTGGCAACCATCGTAGAACTCGAATTTGGAATGCGGGGTGTCGAAACCCTTGTAAATATCATGGGAACAATTCCGAGATGTCGAAATCCTTCAGCGCTGAAAGCTTTCCCCCCTTCGCAAAAGGTCTGGATCCTTTCTAAACCACAGCGGCGCACACAATTGTCCAAGTGCACACAGTGCATGGAGTCAAGTGCATAGAGTCAACGCGTGTCAAATTGTTCGGGCTTGTCGTCTTCTAGTAATGGGTGCTAGCGCTTATGGGGCATTCTGAAGGGGGATCGGAGGTTCTGCCTGGCTCCGAGCCCGTTTCGAAGTGCTGCCAATTGACAGCAATCCAAGATACCGCGAGCCATCTGCCACAGTCGCCGAATGCAAGCTTTTTGGAGGCTCTCAGTTATGCGTAAGTTATGTGCATTGTGTATCAGGTACGAAGAGTACCGCGGCTAATTTCTAACAGGAACACCGAGCTGGGAGGAGTCGAATGACTGAGAAGTTGGTAGGCTCTTCTGTGCTTATCTGGCTTTGGAAGATCATCCATTTCACTTGAGTAGTTTCCAGGTGGTTTGGAAATCGCTACTTCTCTATCCCATTTTCGATGGTCACTACTTGCATTCTTGCCTTTTCCCAGAAACATTCCATCCGCCAATGTCTTGCACTTCATCTCGGCCTCGACTCTGGACCCTTTTCCATGTCTACTTCATGGTACTGAATAACCAATCATAGCTGTATTGATTACTGGCTTATATCCATATTGGGGCACTTTAGAAGCTTTGAAGTGGGTTATAAAGACAGTTGTGATTGGCGTGAACCGCCAAGTAAGCCCATGTCAAGGGTATGAATGGCGGTCATGGCCACAAATCGAGTACTGTCATTATTGCTGTTGTTATTGTTAGTAGTGCTACTTGATTCTGCTATTTATACCATACGATTATCATTATCATGATTCTTCTTCAAGTTTTCTTGTTTTTCTTGTCTGTTGTTTGATCGGCTCAGCCCACTTCCCGGGTTTGAAACGATGATAGCTCTAGCAGCTGACTTGGGCCTTCGTCAAGGGATTTTCTGGGTCATGTGGAAGGTTGATGCGGTGGTCTTCTTTGTGTTTTGGTCGTCGGTTGTCTTCAGCATATTTTCGTCATGTTTCTTGTTGGGAATGATGACCCTCATTGCAGCATCATCGTCACTGTCACCACCTTCAGCATCATCACATCACGTCGGTTGTAGCAAAATGACGAGGACGTTGACGAACCACGATGTTGGTCCCAGTGGCGATGGTTCCAAGTAGGATGACGACTGTGGCGGCGATGCTGATGGCGACGATGATATTTTCGCTTCATGAGCCCTCTGCTTGGTTAGGTTGGGCTGCTCTTGCGGATGGTTTGCTCCCATGCCGTAGCAGGAAAGATTGGCAGTGGATGGCAGTCAGTCAGCTTTGACTGAACAGACATGTCACCATCGGGTCACTTTTAGAATTCAAACTTCCAAGCGACGTTCAAGTTGAGGCCACGGTGCTGAACGGATTCTGCTTGTGTCCTTGCCTGCACAAGTCGCATCATGGTCCAGCTTGCCAGGCGGTTGTGCCGTGCTGGGCAGTTCACTCCTGTTATGTAGTAGGACATAGTAGCAAGCAATGCTAGATCCGCTATTGCTTCATTCATTGCTTTCGGCTTGTTTCAGAACACCGCACAGCTTCGCATGGAAGCTTTCCTGTCAAACGGGCACAATTTCCGGAGTGCAGGGCGCTGTGTGGCCGTGAAACGTAGCGTGACTTGTTACAGCTGTTCTATTGCAGTGTTTGTTGCGTGAAGCCATGTTGGCACGTGGAGGTGTTGCACAACCTTTTGCGAAGGATGCACATGTACGGGCCAGCACTGTAACTTGATTCGGCGCAATGCATGGTGTACCAACACCAGGCATTTCGGCTCTTCAGTTCTTGTGTTTAATTTGTCCATCACAGCAACGGGACAGCGATTCAAGTAATTATTGAAGAAGTGCTGCGTTGTCTAGGAGCATATCTAGATGGAGGACCTGATTCAAAACGACATTGAAACCGTTGGACAAGGTGCACTTAGACTCGCCTACATAAAGCCTGAAGTCTGACGTCCCCTCCAAAAGACAGCTTTACGCTGTGGTCTCTGATGTTGTTTGAGTGGAGAAGATGGAGATGAAGCAGCAGGTCGGCAGAACAAGGGTTCAGCTGTCCCTTTAAGAGGTCTTTCGAAACCCCGAAGCCCAAAAGCCCTTCAGCGAGGCTCTTTGCAGCATGTCCTCTGATTCATCTGGTTCAGGCCGTAGGGTTCACTGGTGACACATGCCTTTCCAGCTGTGTTGCGGCTGGTGTACCAGGGGGTTGAGTAAACGACAAAGATCATTGTTGATGCCAGTCAACCATTGCAGTGTTGAAAGCCATAAGACGACTGCGTTGTACCATTGCATGCTGATGGCCTAACACGGATCGGCCTGCCAAGGATCCTGGGTTCATTTGGCCGATGCAGCTGATGCTACTGGATGCGAACAGCTTCCCCTTACTGCGAGCCCTTCTCCAGAGGAGGCACGCGGAGCACGGGAGGCTTGGGCTCGCTAGACAGTCTATACACATGAGAACGCGGATGGACACAACAAGTGGAACGAAACTGGTTAACCATCATTAGCATCAGCATCACTGTACCATCACCATCACAGCAACAGCAACAGCCGCAGCCACAGCCACAGCCACAGCAACGACAACGACAACGACAAACAACGTCGGCGTGTAGGTCTGAAATGGTCTGAAGATTTTGCCATAGAGATAGGGAGGTGCCGGAAGTGCTGAGTATGTTTCAGGCCATGGTGGTGTTCTCAAGCCCCCAAGAAAGCCCATGTAAAGTAACCCTAAACCCTAAACCCTAAACCCTAAACCCTAAGCCCTAAACCCTAAACCCTAAACCCTAAACCCTAAACCCTAAACCCTAAACCCTAAACTCTGCACCCTCAACCCTAAACCCTAGATGTGCTGTCAGGCTGGAGCTCCGTGCGTGGGCCCCTCCCGTTGAAGCCTTGGCACTTTGCCCCGTGGCCGGCTCCGCTCAGCTCGGGTTAGTTGGGGAGCTAGCCGTCGGACTCCGGTTTAGGAGGCCCCTTCCTGTGCTTCGACTCGCGAGGAGAGGAGAAGGGGTGTCTTTGAGGAAAGCTCGCTCAGGAGCCTTTCAGGGAAGGCCCGAAGAGCAGAGGAGAGTGAGATCTTGAGAAAAGTTGTCGGATAAAAGGTTGAGGGCCAGTCCAAAGCGTCAGCTGTCATCAGCCCTGTGTAGTTGAGGCCTCCTATCCCAGCTTAGGCGCGTTCTGTCGACGCTCCTCCGTATGTGATTGGCTTCCCATCCATGTGAGAAAGGGAGCTCGGTGTTTTTGAGTAGATGCGGATGAGGCACGGGCTTGGGTGCAGGGAGTTCTCGGCCGCCACCTGGCTCAGTGGCAGGCCGTTGTGCAGACTTGCCCGGTTCCGCGATGCGCGCCGGCCCTGTGCTTCTCTTCTTGGAGTTCAAGGCTAAACTCTTGTCGGAGGTTGTTCGTCCCGGGACACGAAGGGCCGCGTGCCTCGCGCTCAATCAGAACCCTGCAGTCGAGTCCGTCTTGTTTCTCCTTGTGTCCGCGGCGTCGGTTGGCCTAAATCTCGCAGCCGAAAGCGCTCCTCCTCGTGCTCAGTGCCTCGGCCGCGTGTCCCGCGAGGACGTCGCGCTGCTCGAAGCTTCGTCGCTAGCTCGCCGACGCCCTGTGCTCTGCGAGAGGTGGGAGTCTAGGACGGTAGAGGCTTTATGTCGGACTTGGCATCTTTGCCGGAGGAGTTCAGAGTTGGTTTTGGGAGAACCAGTCTAGGGTCATGGGATGATGTGTAAGCCGTCGTGCAAGACGCAGGGGATCCTTTCGCATGCTCATGCTTGACATAGGCCAAGAGGGGATGGTTTCAGACCTGTCGCCTCTTTGCCTCCCAGTGCATTCGAGCGGGAGCCCCGCCCGAGACTGTGGAGCCGAGATTCTCCGTCTCACTCATTAACCGCCTCTTTGGCCATGTTTTCGCGTGGCTTGGGTCCATTCCATCTCCATCCTTTGGGGTTGTAGGCAGTCAGGCAGCACGGTCAGAGCTGATGTGAGACACTGGTGTTGAATCGGGCGTGCTGAAGGTCTGCACGCGCGGCCTGACCGGACACCACCACATGTTGAAGGCAGCGGACAAAAGCGATCTCGTCGGCGCTCGGCCCCCCCCTTGAGTTGCGACCTCGAGTGTGCCTGCTCATCGCAGCGCCAGCCCCATGCACCTTGACAGCTCGGCGATGAAGATGTCCAGATGCTCTCCCCGCGGTGGCTGGCACGGTCGCCTCCTGCCCACCCCCTGAAAAATCGGTGGGTGGGGGAAGGGGTCACTCTGGTGGCACCTATTTTGAATAGGTGGGCCACTGTTCAGCGTGAGGGTGGGGGGCTCTCCCAAAAAGAGTTGGCGTCGGGTCCTCCCGTGCTCCTTGACTTCAAGCATTCACGGCCGTGTTGCACCTGCAGAAGGCGTAGCAAAAACCGCGTTCATTTTGGGCAGCGCCTCATAATCCTTCACGAGTCTCAACAAAAAAGCGCTTTGTAGTGGCACCCAGAAGGCGCGCGCCCTTGCTGCCTGATGCGTTCGCCAATGTTGTGTCGCAGCGCCACTTCCAAGCACAAAGGGGGTCTTGTCAGCACGTGGTGCGCGTGGTCACCGCGAGTGGAATCCCTGATTGCTGGTGTCGGGCTCGAAAGCAGTCTTCCCAGACCCTGTGCTGCATCGCTAGGCGTACCTCTGGAGTGGTGTCTCGGTCGCTCTGATCGCTGCCGACTGCAGTCCCCACATGTCCCCACCCACCTGCTGTTGTTGGGACTTCCATTTCTGCCTCTTCCTGGCCACAGACACAGTAATACCCTCAGGCACATGCAGGCACACGCAAAACTTTGTATTCCTGACTGTTTCCCTCGAACCTGCGTCCTGCTGGGGTTTGACATTCAGTGTTGGGCCTTTTGTCACATGGGGTGTCTTTGGTATACAGTGTCGCGTGCCAAAGCGGTGTCGCGCTTTTTACACGTGTGGTGCCGTCGCGGGCCTCACAAGTAGAGTGGTTCCCCCCCCCCCCCACCCCCCGCCCGAAGCCACACTTACCCAAATAGGTGGCCGCCACTTTCGAGGGACCCTGCACCCCCCTTAGGTGGTGTGCATCTGGCACCAGCCGGGATCCTCGACTGGCGACCTTCGCCAGTCTTCGGGCTTCTGCAGATGCTCCGAGGCCAAGCTCGCATCTCAGATGTCGCCCCTGAAGCCTGCGCTAAGACGAGGCGCCGAGTGCACTCAGTTGCCATGCGCGTGAGAGGTCCCTTCGGTCGTCTCTTTGACAAACCGACAGCATTACATCAAAGCAACTTCTCGGTGGGGCCAGCCGCATGCTTGATGTTTCCGGTGGCAACAGAGACCTTGCCCACTGCAGAGCCAAGGGACATCGTCAAGGCTGGGATTCGCCAACTTCCTCTGCACCTGCCACGTCGAAAGCAAAGCTTTCAGGAAGGTGTCGGTGCGGCTGGTGCCATCACCCCGCGACCGGGATGCTTCTCACCGTGGCTGGAACGGACTCCCGAAATCTGGTCTTAGTTTCTGGGCCCGTGCGCTGGGCCGGACTATTTGAAGGCAGGTCATGGAAGCCCCAGGCGCCCAGGTGAAAAAATGACATCTGAGTCCACAGCTTTGCCGGGATCCGGGATTTTAAGAGTCTCACGGCTCTAGAGACTTCGCTCAGACTTGAGATCTCGAATGTGGTTCCAGAGCCGCTGTTGACTACGCACGCAAGCCGCCAGCCTTCAGGCCGAAGATTCGCAGGGATCAATGCCGTGTCCTTGCTCCAGAACGGCGCTTCAACACTTCAAGCGAAGCGGTGACCGTGAGGTCTTGGTGTGTTCGCTCGCGTCCCCACTTTCGCAGGACTTTTTCAGCAGATGGTGCCATTGCGGAAGGCTCCCAAGTTGAAGAGCTGCCTTGACCAGATGTACGGAAAACAGAGGCACCTTGGGGAGTTTGCCCTACGTCGGCTTGGGGGCGGCTTTTGCCTAAGCACTTCACAGCCAAGGAGTCAGTGAAGCAGCAAGATTGAACTAAAGCCCACACGCAGATGCACGAGACGTCACCGGCATGCCCATGCCCACTTGATCCCTTTTCTGTCACTTTTGTCCGGGCTTCTTGGGCCGTTTTTGGGCCTGTGACTGGCACTGGGACTCGGCCCAGTGGGCCTGAGCCAGGGCTGAGCTGTGATGTTGAGGCGGTGTGTGGGCGACCCACAGCCCAAGGCTCCCAGGGCTGTTCGCGCGGCGGCTCCCACCGTCTCCCCATCCCTCGCAGGTGCTACTCCCATCCAGAGCACAGTTTAGATTCCCGGCTCTGAGACTGATATGGACTCTCTGACCTCCCCCCGCCGAATCTTGGGCGCCAGAGACCGAGGCCGCCAGAAGATTAGGCAAAGAGCCGCGCATGGTGCTTGCACAGGAGAAGAGGAGCCCAAAGGTTCTAAACATTTCTAAACCCAATGTCAGGCTTCTCTGGTCTCCACGGGACCCCCCTAATTACAGCGATCCGGTCGGCATACTGCAAGATCGGCCGCTGGTATTCAGGGCGATGTGCACCAGCAATTTGACAGTGGGATACAGCAATGACAGTGTGAACCGATCCCTCCTGCAAAAGGCACAGGTTTAAGACCTCGATTGCTCCATCACAGCACACGCAGGCTGCAGAGTCACGAGCACCGGATGGCCTACATTCGTACATGGCAAAAGATTGGAGGAGATACGACCGGTACAGGCCAATTTGAGGACACGAGTTTGCTCCGGACTGCGTTGAAGGAGACATCTTGAGTCCGTAAACACAGCACCTGTCGTGGTACCCAGCTGTCTGCAGGGCCTGAAAGAAAGATGTCTCTGGGAAGCTTCCGCCAGGAGCAGCTAGTGACTAGTGGCGGGCCCAAGGCCTGCCGAGCAGCGCAGCCCGGAGTACCAGTCATGAGATCCCACAGACGTTAATCCCGCCGCGAGTACCGACCGGCTTCCCTTGTTTTTTGGGTTTAGCACTTTTGAAGACATCCTTGTGAGTCTGCAGTTCGAGCATCAAGATTCCTCATGAAGGTGTGAAAAAAACAGCAACCTGGGGTGCACAGACACGTGCGGCGGGTCTGCCAAAAATGCTCTGAAAAACTGCCGATGCAGCCGCTGCGTTCGGGCTCTGCCACAGAGCACCACGGAAATAGGCCTGGGATGTGCCAGTAGTCACGGACGTGGGCTCACGCCACGAGGAGGCGAGGCCACAGAACGAAGCGTGCGGCCTTCGTGGCACTACCATCCGGCATCTTTGGCTTGGGCGAGGAACTCAAGCCGCGTGGAAGCTGGTTGGCTTGCACCTTCTGCTTGCTCGGGACGTCCTTGCTATTTCTGAGCCGAATTACTGATAGCTCAATCGCTGTTTCATTCAGCTTCCACGAAGATGCTAACCCGCAAGCTTCGTCAAGCCAGCGTCGGGTAGCTACTCGGGGCAGATGGCCTCCAAATGGGCTGGGCGGGAGTTTGTGAATTTTGGAACCCGGCGCGTCACCAGTTCCTTGCCGGGAAGGGCTGTTTCGGCAAGAGCGTTTTCAGAACAGCTGATGCCTGCCCTGCATGCAGGAATCCTTGGCGATACTTGGCATACCCGTTCTGCCGGTGCGAATGCTGAATGTTTCTCAGAGCAGCCGAGCTACATCAAGCTCATGTTGAAATTCTGATGGCCTCGCAGATGGAAGTCATCCATACGTAAGTGTGAGTTGTGGCACACGGCAAATCAAGAGTTACTTGCAGGAAGGGAAGGCCAGTTCACTGCATTCTGGCACCGCTTACACCCCCATGAGTGCAGGATCGCATTTTGCTGGATTCCTTCCAGGAACATGCTGCCCTCAAGCGCTCGCTCACCGGGCTCATGCTGCCCTCAAGCGCTCGCTCACCGGGTTCTTGTGGGATGTCCTAAGCCCAGGATGATGGCAATGAGACGGGAGGCTAGCTTATATTGTTGACAATCAGGTGCAAAGCTTGAGTCGGGGTTCAACTATGGTAGCCGCTTCTCGAAGCGCTTGGAGCAATCGTTTGGCAGACCCCTACCCGCTCCTCTGCTACACATTACCATTGTGAGTTTCGTTTCAACTCGTGGCTTAAGTGAAGGTGCGACTAGTAGCGGTGCATCTGCCAGCGTCTCTGCTTAGCTTTGCCGGATTGTCACGCGACTTGTGCGCACTCTTCCGCGCTTTGACCTGCCTTCCCCCTCCGCAGCCCGCATGGCAAGCGAATCGCAGCTGCACATGTCGAAGCATCATTAGCCCCTACGTTCTGCCGGTGCGAATTCTGAATGTTACTCAGAGCAGCTGAGCTACATCAAGCTCATGTGAAAATTCTGATGGCCTTGCAGATGTAAGTCATCCGTAAGAGTGGGTTGCGGCACACGGCAAATCCAGAGTTGCTTGCCGGCCACTGCTGCTTCGGCAATATGAGAGTCCTTGGCACAGGGTCCCGGGAGTCGCGAGGAAGGGAAGGCCAGTTCACTGCAGTCTGGCACCGCTTACATCCAAGGAGTGTAGAATCGCATGTAGTTGCATTCCTTCCACGATCATTTCAAGCGTAGGGCCGCGACGTTTTCTTCCCCGCCCAAGTTTCGTTTTGGCATCCCCTGCGGCCTCATATGTCCACCGAGCTACAAGAAGTGGCTGTCAACCGGATTCAACCCGTAAGCTTCCAGGAGTATAGCCTCACCTCCCAAAGAGGGGGTTGGCTGGTGGCTTGCATGCACTGCGATGCTCGAG